GACGGAAGAGTGCTTCTTAGTTGCTTATGCCGGTTTTATTTTCTATTTAATTAAGCACGCTTCTAATTTTGCTTGGTTCTCATAATTTATTGGTCCTCTGTGATCATTTAATATTTTTCGTCCTTGGTTTCGTGATATATAATCAAAAGGCGCAGTCGGCAGTTCTGTGCGGGCCGAGAGGTGATGCTTCCTGACTTAGCGAATGATGCAGTTTTATAACCGCATGGTAATTTCCATTGTTTCTTTATTCGGCAGTGTGCAGGAATATCACAGAATGTTGCAAATTGCGGAACTTTCTTTCCTACCGATGTGGCAGCTAGAGATTATTTGATCTTTCATCATCTACCTACTTTTGGAAACGTTTCTGAATAGATTAGAACTTTGACGGTCTGTCATCCGTTTTTCAAAGGTATTTAAATCACAATGTAATTATCAATAAAGTTCACCGATAGGTCTGGGCATACAACTTTGTTTCGTTTTTCCAGAAGTGACACACCCACCTCATTTGCAATATTGCATCAGATTTGACTCTACGGTTGAGGCTGGCTTCGAAAAGAATGCTTCATAATGTTTTGCATGGTCCGCGATTCTGCTGTAGGTTAGGTCTTATTTAATTCACTAAAACTTCATTCTACATCTTCAGTTGATAGTCATGTAAATGTCTTCGTGATCTGACCTGTCGAAGATAAAAACAATAATCTTGTTAGCGTTTCAGTGCTGAAAGTTACTTTATTCCAAACTGGTAATTTCTAAACATTTCACTTATGAGCTATGGCTCCAAAATATTATTCATTTTACGATCAAATGAGAAAGACGTTTGCTTGTTGTCACAAAATATCTAATGAGATTTATTCATTTTAAGTACATGTGAAGAAACGTAAAAATCATAAAATTTGTTACAATGCAGATATTATTATTTTCCAAAACTAATTTCGATATAGATTTCAATAGAAGATATGATTTAGTGGTTCTATACACAAACAACAGGTCACAAACAAAAGGTTAAAGCCTTTATTTTCACAGCTAACGTTCCAGCCAAACAATGTTGGTCACTTTCAGGGCAAAGTACAATTTCTCAAGCATCGCTTGCTTTGACGATGGCCAATATCCTGTTGCGGAAACGTCGGCAGTTCGAATGGAAACTGCATCATTGGCCTATAGTTGATGTATATTATTACTGAAGCATCACTTATACTCTTTTACTAATGTTACTGAAGCATCACACATACTCTTTTACTAACGTTATTGTACTCATTATTTGCATGAGGTTACATTTCAGATCTTTGCAATTGGCGTCAACAACTTTTTTAAAGAACATGGTTTAAATCTAAGTTTGGCTTCTACTTCGAACTGTGATCACGACGGGAATTACACATGGCCAACTGGTGACCTATTGTACAAGTATATCGAAACTTTCAGCCCTATACGGCAAAAATAATTTGATGTTCAGGTATTTGAAAACTGTGAAAACATCTGGTGAAACGGGCATTCAAGATTTCCCCAAACTGGACATCGAATTCGACGAGGATGGAAACGCGAAAAATTCGTATTTGTCTATTCTTAATCTAAAGCCAGACCGGCACTGGGAAAAAGTGAGCACTGGCATGAGGCCAAAACCCATTGTCATAAAGTTTGCTACAGGTAGGCGAATTTTTTGGGGATCAGTTGAAAATGAACGATATCACTTGGCCTGGAAATGAGACCAGTCCTCCACCAGGAGTTCGTCAGAAGTTTCACTTGAAGATCGTAACGCTCGACGAACCTCCATTTATATTCGTCCACGATGTCGACCCAGTGAATGATCGGTGCCTCGTCAATCAAGGCGTCCTCTGTCGATGGGGCACCCATGGGTACGAAGTGTAGATCGCACTTTGTTTCAGTTTTCATGCTTTAACGACGACTTATCTGCAGCAACACTACCAGATGGAAGTGCTGCAGCGGATTTTGTATGGATTTACTTAACAAATTGGCCGCCGATATTGGATTTGACTACGATTTATACAAAGTAGAAGATGGCAGATGGGGTATCAAGGAAGTAAGTGACGAAGAAAACCTATTTGTTTTAAATAAACGATATTTTTTCCACTGCAGTACTCATCCCATAAATCAGTGCTAAGTCACAGACTAACAATTCATCTATTTTCAGGACGCAAGTCCCGTACTTCAACTATCGAATTTTGGCATTTGACGTTTCGACAGACTTCTCTCCGTCGTTCCACTGAGTGACATACCCCTAGATTTCCAGACAATTATAGCCTCATCAGGTTAATCTTGCCTAGTTTTAAGTGCTTTTCTGAGCCGTTGATGAAAACACTTTATGTTCTTTTGTTTTTATTAATCCAGTAATGAAATTCAGATATTCAGATATCCCTGTTCCATTAATACTCTGATCTATTTAATTTGTGCTTTGGCGAAGCTGGTAAAGCTATTGTGGGAAAAAGTAGACAAAACTTGACAAGCAAATCTCAAATGTCAACTTTTCATCAGGGATGATAAAAAACTGCTGAATGGCAGGGTAACTGTATATGGTCATCTGATACCTAATGATGATAAATGTATAAGTAGTTATGCATCATTCCATATTCGAGAGGATAGCAAGTGCAACCATTTTTTGCGATCGTTCTGTGTTTAATATGAATGAAAACGAGGCTTGGCGAGAAAGCTACCTCTGGGCACTTCGAACAACAATATTTTTAAATTTAAATAGGCACCTGCATGTTCTAGCCGACTCATATACCATAATGTAAATGCGGCTAAATTTAAGAAACATGTTTTGGTCACGAAACCGATTGCGATTACGGTATGTTATTGCTGACACTTTCAATTATGCGTTTCCTTCTCTATCGTCGTCGAAATATTCACGGTCAGTTGCGTTGTTTGTATAAATTACGTGTTCTACTGATAATGGCATTTTTTAATTAGTAAGATCCTCATTTATGAAGGTTTAGCAAATGAGCTGACAGAAACTGCATTGAATCATACACTCTCATGTTCATTAAGGAAAAATGATCAAATAACATTTAGCCATTTTTTAGATCTGCACATCAATGTTATAAAACGGCAGAATAAAAATAAAGAGACCCTAATAAAACGAAGATGATGCAATCACTGCACGCGATAACGACCCAAAAATTGAACGAAAGGGAACAACGAAGAAGAGGTTGAAAATTTCAGTTATGTTGTTGTTAGTTTCAGCAACAGATGTGAGCTACCACAACGGAATAAAACGGCGCCTGGGAGGGGGGCATCAGCGAACTTCGGGAGTTTTTTCGAACTTCGGCAAAACCCCTCACCCCTCTATCAGGATAGGGCAACCAAGATCTTCATACTAAAAGCCGCCTTCGTCTCGGTCGTAATGTTACGTCTCGAAGCATCCATTCTTTAGAGAGGTCATGAAAAAGTGTTGGACAGTTTTCATCAACTATCTGCGGAAGTGCGATGGTTCTATGGACTGAAAAGTAGAAAGATCTCAGGAATGACTGGCCTAGGAATGCTGTCTGAAGAAATTCGAAGCCGGAGCCGGCGTCTTTCGTGGTTTGGCAAAACTACCCAGAGAGAGAATGGAGACCCATTAAAGCCATTTTCCTCTGAAAAGTAAAGAGTGACCGCAGTCGCGTCAGTGACAAACACCGAAGCCTAAAACACGTGATGGAAGGGGGACTTACTTGCGACAAGCAATATAATCTTTGCTGCGGCTGACAACACAATCTGAATTATTCCTATAAGGCAAAAATGTCAGTTATCATTATTCTTGGTGCCCGGTCCTTGACCTAGATCCTGGGCGTGGAACACAGTTCAGTCTCCGTCAGTTCGAATAAAGGATAATAAATTGCGTTTTATCGACATTGCTCTGACACGAACCGTTCCATATCTGGCGGTCCTCTTCAAATAAGAATAACGAAAACTTGTTAACCTTCAGATTTCCAGTCTTACAAGTTTGCAAAATGATATGATAACAGTAACAGTTATCGTATTTTCAATTCCTGTATATTTGTTTCGTCGACTGCGTAGAAGAAACAATTGCTCATAATACAGTAAATAAAGAAATTAAATTAAAACTTAATCATTTTCATGATAATTTTTTCACAGAATCATAAATGGAATGGCTTAGTGGCAGAACTGGTCAACAAAAAGGCAGACATGTCTGTGACTGCCCTGAAAATCAATTCAGAACGCGAAAAAGTTATCGATTTCTCAGTTCCTTTTCTGGAGACGGGTATCGCCATCGTTGTAGCAATCAGAAGAGGTGCGCTTTCGCCAGCGGCTTTCTTGGGTAAAGAAATTTTACTGAATGCAAAATAAAACAGTTGTTTTCTAGAACCCTTTGAATCGACTACATGGATATTTATCCTAATAGTAAGCATTCAAGGAGCAGCAGTGTCCATATTTCTGTTCGAATGGCTCAGTCCAAGAAGCTTTAACATGACGAAGACTCCGCCTCCGGGCCACAAGTTTTCTTTGTGCAGATCATATTGGCTTGTTTGGGCTACAATGTTCAGCGCATCTGTGACCACCAGTGTTCCTCGATCGAACAGCTCGCGGTTTATGAGTCTAATCTGGGCCGCTTTTGCACTGCTGTTTCTAGCAGTTTACACCGCCAATTTGGCAGCATTTATGGTCACAGGGACAGAGTTCCATCATCTCAGTGGCATTGAAGATCCAAAAGTATGTGAAATCAAAAAGTTTATTTTCATTATAATTATTTCTTTTCGTCAAATCGCTTATATACATACAAAATGGGCACCTAGATAGTATAGAGAACTGTACACCCAGATGGGCAAATTTTTTATGCATAGATAGCATATTCATGGTTATAGTGTTATGTGGTAACAAGCGTTGGTTTTCTGTGCACTGTCTAGTGACTAATGTATCACGTTCGATTAGAAGGCAACCTTTTTGTTATTCACCATAACAATTAGGATGCGCTAGCAAACGATG